TAATCAGATTCTTTTAATGTCGACCCCCTATCATTCTTTTTATGACATTAGCATGATAGTTTTGCAAGGATGAAATGGAAGTGGGAGTGTGAACACAGGAAACCTGTCGGTGGACGCAATTCCACGAGCAGTAAGGACCAGTGTCCAAGTTGACACTGAAGACCCCGGTGAAGCATAAAGCCAGGAACTTAGTTTGCTTAGCTTTATTTGTATTTAGTTTTCTCTATCTCTCTACTTATTTTTTGCTCAGCAAAAAAAGAAAAAGAAAACATGTGACATCCCTAAAATCGAGGGTCCTTTTGTCAACCATTGATCATCCGTCAATCCGCAAAAATACTCATGATTGTCACCCAATCTGACATCAAGTCAATAGAATCCCTTTAACCGAGATTGTTACCCACGCATATAACACATGCATATTTTGTCATTTGACCCAACCAGTTCCAATATACCACAATTTACCCTTATTTTAAGTCCATTTATATCCTTGAAACCAAAGAACTCAAAGCCTAAAAGTATGGCAAAATAATTTTTTAAAATTTTAAATTTTTGAAGAACCTACAGGTAGGTTGTACCCACTGGAAAATTCCTACCGGTAGGTTTTGCCTGATAACTCAAAATTTTGCCTGTACACGATCCTACCGGTAGGTTGTGTCCACTAAACCCTAATCTACCGGTAGGTCCTACTGGTAAGTCTTGCCCAATTTTGCTTGTTTCACCTGTTTTCAATTTTCAATCCATTTCAGACCTACCCAAACTCATGTAACAGATATTTGTACATCAAAAATAGTTAATACAAGCTCTATTACAATAATTTTCAAAATATTACATGTCCCAAAACATGGTTTTTTACAACATTTTATAAAATATGGATTAAAGGCCACAAGTCGGCCTCTTTTCATCCTCGATGCCCTCAATAAGAGTCGATCACCGGTGTGTATTCCCTACTTGAAATTTTTTCTCGTATAAGGTGAGCTACGCTCAATAGAGTATCTTCTATAGAGGTTACTCCCTAACCTAAGTACATATGAAATGTGCGCATGCAACAATCAACAACCATTATCCATTTCAATCCAAAACATGTAATTTAAGATGGAAATTCTACCATGACATGTCATGATACAAGATGATATTCACTCATACTCTTTAACCCGAGTCCTCACCGACTTCCTCAATACAATGCAATGCACGTACTTATAAAACCAAATTATTGTTGGATGTTACCCATCGAATGAGTACTTTATAAAATAAATTCATGTGTCTTTATTGGGTATCAGATTTTGGAATCACACAGCTGGCTCCGTGCGCCATTTACACTTTTCTGAAATTCTACCACAAGGGAGTGTATGAACCAAGTAGTCGGGTTTTTCACCCAAGGGAGAATATATCTCTCCTTGTTATACCCGACACAAGTTTTTCATGTAACATACAACTCGGCCGGATCTTCGATCCAACCTTCCCGAGTCTACTTATCAAGCACCAAGAGTGATGTTTAATTAAACCATGTAAACACACCCACACTCATGCTTAATGTCCATGAATGCGATGCCAACTTCATGCCCAATATACAATGTATGTCAAATGAGCAATTTAAACTGCATATCAACATATCTCATGGCAATGTATATCTTAAACATATAATTACTACAATTTATCATGATACTAATATGTTAACAACATATATCAACTTTTTCATACTCAACAATCATTCACAAGCATGTTACACATAATCTATATCAATAACATACTTTATTCACAAAGGCACAATATTAACACACAGCAAGACACATAATATCAGATTTCAAGAATTTTCACAAATGACATTCACATGTCAAGTTCAAGTTAGAAATTCGTTTAAATCATTTTTATACCCATTTTCTCATTTCTATAACAATAGGCAAGTGACATATATAGTTATACACCTACCCATTCCATATGGACATTTTAGATTAGAATTTAAACCAAAGTAGGAGGGAATCCTACCTCTTGGAGCGTGATACGAGTGGTAGAAAGCCTCAAAAACACCTCCTAAGCCCAAAACTCTTGATTTTTTCAAATCTCCTCTTTGGATCTTTGGTGAAATCCTTCGTTTTTGGTACGTAGGCGTAACCCTCATCGAGGTGATCGACTTTAACTTTTGGTCCAAAAGATTCTGACCAGTGGAACTTCGTGAATCGTATGGAGAAGGTAGAAGTTTTGATTTTTTTTTCTTTTCTCTCTTCTCTCTCTTCCTCTTCTAACGTGAAATTTCAACTGATCAAGTGGGGAAGATTAGATATTTCCCCCTATTTATAGCCTCTAATTTCACGGTCCACGTTGTGCCGCAATTTCCTTATTTTTTAGGTCTGTTTTTGTTCCGAAACAACTTAATTTCATCCCGATTTAAGTTCAATTTATTTTTATTTGAACTTTCCTTCAATTATAAGGAAATTTTATAAAATTTATTTTTGGAGATATTTGTAAGGTCACCCGTCATCCAGTTGTCTCGTAAAACGTAAAAAATCCAACTATCTCGGAATTTAATGAAATTTGACTGAGCAACTCGATTTTGTGTGATGAATCCAATTGTGAAGTCCGTTTCGTCATTCGAACTCTATAGAAATACGCATTTTAATTCTGCAACGTTTTGTTTTTTTTAAAAAAAAATTCAAATTTATCCGGATTTTACAAAACTAATCTTTGAAATCAAAATTACAAGAAACAAATGATGAAAATAAGATACTGCAGTGGTTGGTTACACCTCTCAAATCAAAATTAAGTTTATGGTCATTGCATCTATGTATGAAGAGACCTTCTGTGAAGCTGTTCGTGTTTGTAGGATATCGTGGTCAAGACCTGGTAATACGGGCATGAGATGTGGCAGAAAATACCCAAAAATGGGTGTAGAATCAACTCGCAGAAATGTCCGGTCAAAGAAGGGCTTGCTAGAACTCTAAAGAAAGGGTTGTGCTTCAAGAAAAATATATTTCATTATGCATATGTATACAATATGACACTATCCGTTAACACGATACAAAATTAGAGGATTTTAGTCTCCTTTAAATCACCCGTATTGTAAATGTGTATGACTCGATAAATAAATGAGTTGGGTATAGGTGAAACTAATCAAAAGAAGTACATGACATGACTCATTTATATATTGGTCATACACGATTCATGTACAATGTGAATTTGATACAATACGATTCGTTTTACACGAATTAATAAACAAATAAAGTATGAGTGAAATATTTTTTAGCACTAGTCTGTTAAGATCTAACACGAACTTGTCTCACCAACACCCGATTAATAGGCCTAGGTGAGAGATTGGCAAACATAACGAGGTGATGTAATTTTATTATTTTAAAGAAATTGTAAGCTACTTTTTTAAGGGAAATGCATTTTCTACTTTTTTATTTTAATCATGCCGGGATGTGCATTTTCTCAGGAATCTAATACACATGTTTTCTATTCAGATATAAAATATAATGGTAGAGAACCTGTGTATTCAGATGTCCATCTCTGTGCTCTGCATGTTGTTATATGGTCCGGGTCGTTCTTACTTCCTAAGGAGGGATACGAAAAATTGGAGCGGCAACATCTAAATAATTTTATCAAAGCTAAATATCACAAATCTGAATGATTAATGGTGCAACGAGTTTGTGGTTGATAGGTAAAGTAAACTACTCAATATTATAATAGTTTAAAAGGACAATATGTAATTTACTCAAAAACTTTTTATATAGGGTCCAAAGCTATATGGAACATGTATCGGATATCGGGGTGTAACGCGGGCGGGTTGGGCAGGTTGAACAGTCAACCCTAATCCAATCTTAGGTATATAATCTTCAATCTTAACCCTAACCCTACCTTGGGTTGAGAAACTCAATCCGAGCACTGCCCGAGTTTAATTCGGGCGGACTCAGGTTAAATTCAAGTTAATAATTTCTGGCTGATTTCGATTTATTTTATGGGTTCAATTCGGGTAGAACTCAAAATAGACTTGTTGTTCTAAACATAATACATATATTACATAATATTCACTTAAATTAACAATCAATAACTTCAACCAAATTTTTAACGGTGCTAATATTAGAACAAAAATGAAAATGAATGAGAGAGACACAAAATGATAAAACAAAAATGAAAAATCAATGCTAATGCTTTATATATAGATATAATTTTTTTTTTTTTAATTTGTCAGGTTCGGATTGAACCTGTAAACCCGAGGCCTTAACCCGAGCCCAACCCAAATTGAATTCGAGTTGAGATTTTTTGACACAGGCCCAACCCAAATATTAAAAATCCTTAATCGAGTCCTAATTTTTTCAGATTGAACTCGGATTAAAATCGAGTTGTCCAACTCAAGTTGCACCCCTAATAAGATCGACTTTCTAACCAATTTTTCGTTTTGTTGATAGTTTGTTTTGCTCCGCTAGAACCCTCTATTGGGACAGATTAAGTTAAAAAAAAAAAACAATCCCTTTTTAGTAAAAAGCTTTCATCACGAAAACCCAACCAATTTTACACTATATCTTAACCAGAATCAACGCATAAAGTTTAATGGGTAAACGTGGGAATCAGGACGGAATCAGAATTTTATTACAGAATGAGAATGAAAAAACCAACCACTCTTGTTAGAAACAGTATACTGTATGCATCTCCAGGCCAAGTGCATTCAAACAACCTTGGGCCTGATCTATATCAGAAACATATCATCATAGACAAAACTAAGTTGTCACAGAGAAATTCAGCTGTTGTATGCACATTCAGTCTCCAGTCCTAGAAGGATGCGTATGTATAAAATATCAGCTAATTAATTTTGTTAAGAAACCCACCAGATCTCAAGACAGCACCATATTCAATAAGTCTATTGTCTATGACAATCAAACACTAATAGCCTCGGATGGAAGGATCCCGTTGTCCCTTGTCGTACCCACTACATGCAGCTATGCAAGCTTTCTCCAGTGCAGCTTGGGAGATCCCCTTGTTGCAAAAAATTGCAAATTCTCTCGTGTGAATCAAGCCATCTTCACCCAGCACCCCCCACAGTGGGTCGCAAACACCTGCATCTGTGAATCCAATACCAAAGATTTAATTAGAAACTTGCAAAAATCAAGAAGAATAAAAAATATGGATCAAACAAATTTGTTACCATTGATGGGAGACAGTCCCTATGATTCATCACTGGCCCAGATTTGAGAATTGACCTCCTCTTCCCTGGTCCAAATAGGAACAGAGCGATAATGTCCACACTTCCATCAAAGTATTTCCTACGCGCCATTGTATCCCTTATCTCCTTTATTACTTTTGTCTTCTTGAAGCCATCTTTGGAATTCTTGTACTAGCACGTGGAAAAAGACTATGAGATAAATTTGCCAATTACTTTACACTCCTATATTCATTAATCACGAGGACAAAAGATCTTCTTAGCACACACAGTAAAAGGCCTTTACAAATTCATTCCGTTAAAAGTTTTGGTAACTTAAACTTGTTTGGATGACAGAGTATACGACATTTGAGAATATGATATAAAATGCTAATGAAAGTGGTTCTTTCCTTTCCTTTCTTGGTTATTTTATGTCAATCTGAAACGTGGTTCCTCCCACATTCCAATTTTACATGCTTAACATAAACAATCTGAAAGACCAGTGCTCACCCTAAGCCGTAGGGAGTGGAAAATTGCATCCCTCTGCCTAACACCACCAACATGAAGCATTAGGTCCAACCTATTTTGCGAGCTTGCGCGATCATCTCCTACATTCCAAAGATAGTGTCAATGTCAGATGCAGACCCAAGGTCAACTGAAACTTCAGCTATAAACAGCCATTTAGAATGTATCAGTGGCAGAAGAAAAAACAAGAGACAGGAGAAAGAAACAGAACAACATATTGAGCAAAGAAAGACGAAAACAACTTCTGAAAAGAACATACGTATAAATTTTGTGTTTGCTTAGACGTGTATCTTTTCCGAAAAGTACTCACATGTGTATCTTTTGTGTTGGCTTTCCTACATTTTTCTCTCCACGCTTTTTTCTTTATGAAATATCAGCAAATATACAAAAGAAAAATCGCCCTTTTGGGTTTTCAATGCAACCAGAAGCATAACAGATCAGTATCTCAATAAGTTTTGAGGCAGAAACTTATACGGCACTAATGTCCGCCAAATTGTAGCGAGAACTTTACGCATGTGATATCATAAGAGAAAAAGTAGTTAAAGTTGCTTAAAATATTTAGAAAGTGGTTCACTTAGCTTTATCGCTTTTATTAGCACTGAGTGGACTATTGAGTGATTAATTTTCAACAAAAGCTACAAGTTCTAAAAATCTTAATCAATCATTTTCCCACAATTACAAAGGAACACAAGGAAAAACTCAGGTCAGCGAGTTTCAAATCGTCCATGTATCCTTTTTCACAAGTTTTAACCAAACCCTTAATTCTGACCTATATTCAATTGGTAATTTGGTATGACATTGGAATGACGCAAGGTTCTGGCATAGAGATGGTTATTTTATGTCAATCGGAAACGTGGTTCCTCCCACATTCCAATTTTACATGTTTCACATAAACAATCTGAAAGATCAGTGCCCACCCTAAGCCATAGGGAGTGGAAAATTGCATCCCTATGCCCAACACCACCAACATGAAGCACTAGGTCCAACCTATTTTGCGAACCTGCGTGATCATCTCCTACATTCCAAAGACAGTGTCAATGTCAGATGCATACCCAAGGTCAACTGAAACTTCAGCTATGAACAGTCATTTAGAATGTATCAGTGACAGAAGAAAAAACAAGAGACATGAGAAAGAAACAGACAACATACTGAGCAGAGAAAGACGAAAACAACTTCTGAAAAGAACATACGTATAAATTGTGTTTGCTTAGACATATATCTTTTCCGGAAAGTACTCACATGTGTATCTTTTGTGTTGGCTTTCCTACATTTTTCTCTCCACGCTTTTTTCTTTATGAAATATCAGCAAAATATACAAAAGAAAAATCGCCCTTTTGGCTTTTAAATGCAACCAGAAGAATAACAGATCAGTATCTCAATAAGTTTTTAGGCAAAAACTTATACAGCACTAATGTCAGACAGATTGTAACGAGAACTTTACGCATGCGATATCATAAGAGAAAAAGTAGTTAAAGTTGCTCTCAATATTTAGAAAGTGGTTCACTTAGCTTTATCGCTTTTATTAGCACTGAGTGGACTATTGAGTGATTAATTTTCAACAAAAGCAACAAGTTCTAGAAATCATAATCAATCATTTTCCCACAATTACAAAGGAACACAAGGGATCCACAAGGAAAAAATCAGGTCAGCGAGTTTCAAATCGTCCATGTATCCATTTTCACAAAAGTTTTAACCAAACCCTTAATTCCGACCTATATTCACTTTGTAATTTGGTATGGCATTGGAATGACACAAAGTCCTGGCATAGAGATGGTTATTTTATGTCAATCTGAAACGTGGTTCCTCCCACATTCCAATTTTACATGCTTCACATAAACAATTTGAAAGACCAGTTCTCACCCAAAGCCATAAGGAGTGGAAAATTGCATCCCTCTGCCTAACACCACCAACATGAAGCACTAGGTCTAACCTATTTTGCAAACCTGCGCGATCATCTCCTACATTCCAAAGACAGTGTCAATGTCAGATGCATACCCAAGGTCAACTGAAACTTCAGTTATAAACAGTCATTTAGAATATATCAGTTACAAAAGAAAAAACAAGCGACAGGAGAAAGAAAAAGGACAACATACTGAGCAGAGAAAGACGGAAACAACTTCTGAAAAGAACATACGTATAAATTTTGTGTTTGCTTAGACATATATCTTTTCCGGAAAGTACTCACATGTGTATCTTTTGTGTTGGCTTTTCTACATTTTTCTCTCCACGCTTTTTTCTTTATGAAGTATCAGCAAAATATGCAGAAGAAAAATCGCCCTTTTGGGTTTTCAATGCAACCAAAAGAATAACAGATCAATATCTCAATAAGTTTTGAGGCAAAAACTTATACAGCATTAATGTTCGCCAGATTGTAGCGAGAACTTTACGCATGCGATATCATAAGAGAAAAAGTAGTTAAAGTTGCTCACAATATTTAGAAAGTGGTTCACTTAGCTTTATCGCTTTTATTAGCACTGAGTGGACTATTGAGTGATTAATTTTCAACAAAAGCTACAAGTTCTAGAAATCATAATCAATCATTTTCCCACAATTACCAAGAAACACAAGCGACCCACAAGAAAAAACTCAGGTGAGCGAGTTTCAAATCGTCCATGTATCCATTTTCACAAAAGTTTTAACCAAACCCTTAATTCCGACCTATATTCACTTGGTAATTTGATATGGCATTGGAATAACACAAAGTCCTGGCATAGAGATGGTTATTTTATGTCAATCTGAAACGTGGTTCCTCCCACATTCCAATTTTACATGCTTCACATAAATAATCTGAAAGACCAGTGCTCACCCTAAGCCATAGGGAGTGGAAAATTGCATCCCTCTGCCTAACATCACCAACATGAAGCACTAGGTCCAACCTATTTTGCAAACCTGCGCAATCATCGCCTACATTCCAAAGACAGTGTCAATGTCAGATACAGACCCAAAGTCAACTGAAACTTCAGCTATAAACAGCCATTTAGAATGTATCAGTGACAAAAGAAAAAACAAGCGACAGGAGAAAGAAACAGTACAACATACTGAGCAGAGAAAGACGGAAACAACTTCTGAAAAGAACATACGCATAAATTTTGTGTTTGCTTAGACGTGTATCTTTTTCGGAAAGTACTCACATGTGTATCTTTTGTGTTGGCTTCCCTACATTTTTCTCTCCACACATTTTTTTTTATGAAATATCAGCAAAATATGCAAAAGAAAAATTGCCCTTTTGGGTTTTCAATGCAACCAGAAGAATAACAGATCAGTATCTCAATAAGTTTTGAGGCAAAAACTTATCCATCATTAATGTCCGCCAGATTGTAGCGAGAACTTTACGCATGTGATATCATAAGAGAAAAAGTAGTTAAAGTTGCTCACAATATTTAGAAAGTGGTTCACTTAGCTTTATCGCTTTTATTAGCACTGAGTGGACTATTGAGTGATTAATTTTCAACAAAAGCTACAAGTTCTAGAAATCATAATCAATCATTTTCCCACAATTACAAAGGAACACAAGGGACCCACAATGAAAAACTCAGGTCAGCGAGTTTCAAATCGTCCATGTATCCATTTTCACAAAAGTTTTAACCAAACCCTTAATTCCGACCTATATTCAATTGGTAATTTGGTATGGCATTGGAATGACACAAAGTCCTGGTATAGAGATGGTTATTTTATGTCAATCGGAAACGTGGTTCCTCCCACATTCCAATTTTACATGCTTCACATAAACAATCTGAAAGACCAGTGCTCACCCTAAGCCATAGGGAGTGGAAAATTGCATCCCTCTGCCTAACACCACCATCATGAAGCACTAGGTCCAACCTATTTTACAAACCTGCGCGATCATCTCCTACATTCCAAAGACAGTGTCAATGTCAAATGCAGACCCAAGGTCAATTGAAACTTCAGCTATAAACAGCCATTTAGAATGTATCAGTGACAAAAGAAAAAACAAGCGACAGGAGAAAGAAACAGTACAACATACTGAGCAGAGAAATACGAAAACAACTTCTGAAAAGAACATACGTATAAATTTTCTGTTTGCTTAGACGTGTATCTTTTCCGGAAAGTACTCACATGTGTATCTTTTGTGTTGACTTTCCTACATTTTTCTCTCCACGCTTTTTTCTTTATGAAATATCAGCAAAATATGCAAAAGAAAAATCGCTCTTTTTGGCTTTTCAATGTAACCAGAAACATAACAAATCAGTATCTCAATAAGTTTTGAGGCAAAAACTTATACAGCATTAATGTCTGTCAGATTGTAGCGAGAACTTTACGCATGTGATATCATAAGAGAAAAAGTAGTTAAAGTTGCTGACAATATTTAGAAAGTGGTTCACTTAGCTTTATCGCTTTTATTAGCACTGAGTGGACTATTGAGTGATTAATTTTCAACAAAAGCTACAAATTCTAGAAATCATAATCAATCATTTTCCCACAATTACAAAGGAACACAAGGGACCCACAAGGAAAAACTCAGGTGAGCGAGTTTCAAATCGTCTATGTATCCATTTTCACAAAACTTTTAACCAAACCCTTAATTCCAACCTATATTCACTTGGTAATTTCATATGGCATTGGAATGACACAAAGTCCTGGCATAGAGATGGTTATTTTATGTCAATCTGAAACGTGGTTCCTCCCACATTCCAATTTTACATGTTTCACATAAACAATCTGAAAGACCAGTGCTCACCCTAAGCCATAGGGAGTGGAAAATTGCATCCCTCTGCCTAACACCACCAACATGAAGCATTAGGTCCAACCTATTTTGCAAACCTGCGCGATCATCTCCTACATTCCAAAGACAGTGTCAATGTCAGATGCAGACCCAAGGTCAACTGAAACTTCAGCTATAAACAGCCATTTAGAATGTATCAGTGACAAAAGAAAAAACAAGCGACAGGAGAAAGAAACAGTACAACATACTGAGCAGAGAAAGACGAAAACAACTTCTGAAAAGAACATACGTATAAATTGTGTTTGCTTAGACGTATATCTTTTCCGGAAAATACTCACATGTGTATCTTTTGTGTTGGCTTTCCTACATTTTTCTCTCCACGCTTTTTTCTTTATGAAATATTGGCAAAATATATGAAAGAAAAATCGCCCTTTTGGCTTTTAAATGCAACCAGAAGAATAACAGATCAGTATCTCAATAAGTTTTTAGGCAAAAACTTATACAACACTAATGTCAGCCAGATTGTAACGAGAACTTTACGCATGTGATATCATAAGAGAAAAAGTAGTTAAAGTTGCTCACAATATTTAGAAAGTGGTTCACTTAGCTTTATCGTTTTTATTAGCACCGAGTGAACTAGAGTGATTAATTTTCAACAAAAGCTACAAGTTCTAGAAATCATAATCAATCATTTTCCCACAATTACAAAGGAACACAAGGGACCCACAAGGAAAAACTCAGGTCAGCGAGTTTCAAATCGTCCATGTATCCATTTTCACAAAAGTTTTAACCAAACCCTTAATTCCGACCTATATTCACTTTGTAATTTGGTATGGCATTGGAATGACACAAAGTCCTGGCATAGAGATGGTTATTTTATGTCAATCTGAAACATGGTTCCTCCCACATTCCAATTTTACATGCGTCACATAAACAATCTGAAAGACCAGTTCTCACCCAAAGCCATAGGGAGTGGAAAATTGCATCCCTCTGCCTAACACCACCAACATGAAGCACTAGGTCCAACCTATTTTGCAAACCTGCGCGATCATCTCCTACATTTCAAAGACAGTGTCAATGTCAGATGCAGACTCAAGGTCAACTGAAACTTCAGCTATAAACAGCCATTTAGAATGTATCAGTGACAGAAGAAAAAACAAGAGACCAGAGAAAGAAACAGAACAACATACTGAGCAGAGAAAGACGGAAACAACTTCTGAAAAGAACATACGTATAAATTTTGTGTTTCTTCATGTGCTCTTGTGCAGCTTTAGGATTTTCCTGGAGATCAGTCAGCACCTGAAACAACCAAAAACATATGAGCCACTACATCAAACAAAAGGTTTAAGATATAACCTTTAGGGCTGAGAGCAAGTCATTATGGTCAAAAGTTTTTCAGGGATCCTAACTCTCTATCTGTCTCATAATGGGATCTGTGAGGATGTTCTGAATCTCTGGGTCCTGCATTGCCTTAGCCTGCAGAAATTGTGAGGTGTTATTACATGTTTATTTTGAAGAAACAGACCCACCAAAAGTGGAAAGTATCCAAACCTGTCTCTCTTTCAATTCCTCGGGACTGAAATCCCCCCGGCTTGCCTTGTTATTTTGTTCTACACATCTGCATAATGGAATATATTTTTCCTGAAGCACAACCCTTTCTTCAGAGTTCTAGCAAGCCCTTCTTTGACAGGGCATTTCTGCGAGTTGATTCTACACCCATTTTGGGGTATTTTCAGCCACATCTTATACCCATAGTACCAGGTCTTAACCACGATATCCTACAAACACAAACAGCTTCACAGGAGGTCTCTTCATACATAGATGCAATGACCATAAAACTTAATTTTGATTTCAGAGATGTAACCAACCACTGAAGTATCTTATTTTCATCATTTGTTTCTTGTAATTTTGATTTCAGAGATTGGTTTTCTTTTTCTTTTTTTTGCTGAGCAAAAAATAAGTACAGAGGTACAGAGATAGAGAAAACTAAATACAAATAAAGCTAAGCAAACTAAGTTCCTAGCCTATGCTTCACCGGGGGTCTTCAATGTCAGCTTGGACACTGGTCCTTACTGCTTGTGGAATTGCGTCCACCAGCAGGTTTCCTGAGTTCACACTCCCACTTCCATTTCTTCCTTACAAAACTATCACGCTAATGTCATAAAAAGAATGATAGGAGGTCGACATTAAAAGAATCTGCTTAGTGTTTGTTGAGGACGACAGCCCCTTTATTCTTAAGAATGAGATTATGAAGTCTCTTCAAGTCTAACTTCTTATCCTCTAGAAGCAACATTTCCAACCAATTGGCAAAAGATATAAGAAATTTTCAGTATTTTCCCCTCCATGAATGCCATTTTAGCTTTAACTGGAACCACAAAGGAGGAATACCCAAAATTCCTCTAGTCAGTCTTGGATCAAACACATCAAACTGCACACGACTCAAAGAATCCAAAGTAAGCTGAGCAGGCACAGCTGGCAGAAGCACAGGGCAAGCTTCTGCAGGCACTGTTCCAGCGAATTCACGAGCCTTCTGCAGATGCGCATTGGCTACAGATGCAATCTCAAAAACGGCATCACGCAGCCCCTCACGAGAATCCAAACAGATCTCTGACCTCCCTCCCTGCTGAACCAACAGCCCATGTTTGGCTGCCACCTCAGATGGTATATAAGAAAACATAAAGTTGCGGCTAGCGTGGTATGGCAGTGACTTGAGCAGCAAAAGAAGGCCACTTGCTTTACCAATATGGGACGCTGCATGATCTGCCGCAGTGGACCTGATACCACCAGCTTGAAGTGTTGTGTACAAAAGAGTTGACACAGTGTCCTCAGCATATTTCTCCAACTCTTCTACAGTTTCAGGAATATCAGTAACCTCTCTTCTGGCATCATTGATCCGAGCCTCAACAGATCTTTTCAGCCAGCTCTTGCTAATTGTATGCTCAGATATCACAGATGCAAGGGCCTGAGCTGTTGGGTGCTCAATTAACTTGTTGGCAAAGATATTGTCTATGGCTTCTTGCCACCAGAGCAGGCGCATAAGGCCAATTTTGGGGTCAGAAGCAACATCCATGGCTCTAGCAGTCTCAACATTAAAAGCACGAAGTGCAAATGCAGCCTTCCGCATGTTTGCAGGAAGTTCAAGAAGACAGAGGTAGTGATGGTAGTCATAATTCCGTACTTGTTGTACACAGTAGGAAAAAGCTGCCCGTATGCCACTAGATGCAAAAGCACCACTCATCGAATCCCTGCGGCAGTTCCTCTTGTTAGCATATCATGAAGTGATAAAGAAGTGAATCTATTTATTGTTACATAGAGGATATTATCTTCCATAAGATAATGGAACATGCACACATGCACAAACAAGAAAGAAGCCAAGAATCCTTAGCCAAGAGCTCTTATACCAGAGGTACAGTTTTCGTCAACCTCATGTATATACATCAAGAAAATATATTTCTTTTGAATTGTAAATTATACGAGAAACCCTATACGTGAGGCCAGTTGAGGTAGACATCAAGAACCTAATACCATGACTCGCCAAATAATAATCCAGTGACCTGCAATTTCCGACAGAATTTGAGAAACAAAAACTTGTTTAAAAGTTGAGAACTTTAGGTTGAACTTGATAATTCGTCCATCCAACACAAAGTATTTAGTTGCTTCTCTAATAATACTAATATTGGTTATCTGTAGAAACACATTTCTAGGCAGAATGCTGTTGACCCAAATTCTTAAGTAAACATTTTCACCACTGCTTAGACTTCTGAACCTGATAAGTAATCTTTACAGTAATTCAAAAAGCAACTTCATGGTTTGCTCCTGGATAGAATGCCAGCCAAATTAGTTAATCAGAAGTGTATCCCATTTCCACCGAAGCTTACACGTGTTAGACCCCGTAGTGATTTCTGCCAAAATGAAGCCTTAATTTCATGATATCCCAAGTGCAAAACGATAACGACTAACTAAACAAGAAAGATGCATGATAAGTAGTTAAAAGCCAAATCTTTCGCTCCATTTAAGATCATGCTTTTAGTGATGGAGCAGAAGACCAGCTAGGGCTTAGATCCTAGACCCGTAGTCCAAATTAAAACTTGCTAGTCAACCAAGACACAGATCACTTGAAAACTTTAGCCTCAATCTGTTATTTTAGACCCGGATTAACATAGCTAATGATGTCAGTTAATCAACTCCACAATAACGTTGGCTTATACAGAAATTCTAATTCAACAACCAAACACAATAATTCTATATACTCAATAGGTGAACGGCATTGACGTAGCGGGTCGAGTGGTTAATTCTCATACATTGGGTGGGATGAGTGGTGATGGGACATTTCCGAAATACTCCAAGATGAAGACACGTGTCCTCGGTGTCACTAATCCTTGTTACTGAGATCACGTACACATCGGTTCACAAGTCCCTCTCCCCCGAGGTATTTGTCATAGGGATCAAGTGGCATCCAGTACGTTTACATACCGACACGTATCCCTCTATGTACCAATCCCCCCCCTCGGTACCGATATGTACCAATGTCCAGGATGACATTCTCTTCTCCTGCAGAGCTACTGATGTACAAGTCACTAGCCTAGGCTAAACTAGGTTAGTTATCATGACCTCGTCTTACACAATTGGTGTCAGAAGGCACAGGAAGGTAGGGGCCACAGCCAATCGGGAATGGACGCGTGGCATATTGTGTCACATCAGAGACAGAAAGACCGCATGCCCTTGCTGACACACGACTTGGGAAAGCAAGCATTTAATTACACCATTCCCCTGATGAGACTGCATTCAATGCGGTAAGGCTCGGAAGTGAAAGGCAATAAATGTCTCTAAGGCTGGACATTTATTGTATCCTCCCCGAGAGGAGCTCATTAAACAGTCGGCATGCCGATGACACAGCCTTAGTTGCTCAGGATCCCGCAATTAAAAGAGAAGACATTCCTCGTAGGAATCAGTGCGCACGTTGCCTGTATCTAATGATCACCTACTGACCACACTGACAGCAATCATGAGTATTTGAGGTATAAATACTACTCGCAAAAGGCAAGGTAGGGGAGAACAAAAAATCTTTGCTACGAATTATACTCAGTGTTTTCTTCTTCCTCTCTCTCAAAAACTGACTTGATCGTCGGAGGGGATACGCCGAAAAACACTCTGGCGTCCTTCTAACTTGTCTTTCTTTGTTCTAGGCACCTCCCTCAGCCTTATTGGATCGTTCCATTGACCCACGAGGGTCTCTCGTTACCGTTCCAGGTTACCACCGGACCTCATAGGCCGTCCCAGGCAGTAGGGTTGACCATTTGACTGACTCACTCGAGTTCACCAAGGGAGAGATCTGTTCTCGTGTTTATATTGTGCAAGATCAAGCACGCACAAGTGGAGTCCTTAGTTCTCATCCCAACATAGGAAATCAAAATCTTAAAAACCAACATGTCACAATAACCGAATTGTTCACAGGAAATCCAACAAACAGGTAGAATACATACCAACAGGCACATATTGGTGATTGCTCTCGACAAAAATAAAAAAAAAATGGAACTAGTATAAAAAGAAATGAAAAACTACCAGAATCTTACATAGTGGAACTGAAATTGGCCAAAGAATATACAAACGATCAAAGAGAGGCTTTCAGATAAATGGGAGCTATGGAAAATTACCTGGAGAGGGACACTTTCAGATCTCAAGAGGGTTTGAGATTTGTGCCCTTAAATACACCGATGCGCAAGGCCTATCATGCGAAAAAAATAACACATTGAATTTGATAGCGTGAATGAGCAGGTTAACAAAGAGAGAGCGCTACATAGAAGAGAGTAGATTACGAGTTTGGAGCATTGGATTTATTAAAACATTATGATGTTTATTGAATTTAGAGATCTTCAGTTAGAGTTATTATTTGCCACACTTTTTATATTGGCCTTAGGCTTAGGCTTGGGCTTAGGCTTAGGCTTAGGCTTGGGCTTAGGCTTGGGCTTGGGCGGGTACTAGGGAAGCGGGGATGGGGACGAGTATTATAAATTTATCCGCGAAGGGGGATGGGGATGAAAATTATACCCGTTAGCAGGGGTGAACCGGGGATGGACGAAGGTTTTTTAAGCGAGTACGGGGATGAAGACTATGCCCCCGCCCCCACTTCGGTCCATTGACATCCCTATTAATATATCCATCAACCCATGGAATAAGGCACAAATCAAAATAAAACTTGAATTTTTTTTGATAGAAAAGATAAAGCTTTACAAGAAAAGGGAAAAAACTTCAAAACATTCTCTCAAGCAATGGAGCTCTGATTATTTCCAATATAGTCCCTAAGCTACTTGCTACCAATTATGATCAAATCCTAGAAATAACTTCACTCAACTCTAAGAAGCTATAGAAATTAACTGCAGCAATGATCTATCTCATACGAATTAATCAAACCCAACATCTTTGAATGAGTAGACAATTTTTCCCCTCAGCACTGCACACAACTTAAGCTTCATTGTCTCAGCATCTTTAAATGAGTTATGAAAGATTCTTGAATCCATCTCTTTCCAAATCACATTGCCCCATGGGATATTCTACATGAATAAATCACATTTACTAATTAGAAAGGACCACACAAATGTTTACCCACATACACAACGCACAAATGTTCATCAAACACTCACTTCTACAAACAATTACCCCACCCTCTCAAATCACCTAGTTACATAAAGCATAATTTATAAATCAATTTACAATTCCAATTCACAATCCAAATTGAATTCAAATTCATAAGCATATAATTCATAAATCAATTCACAATTCATAATTGAATTCAAAGTCATAAGCATATAATTCATAATTCCAATTCACAATTCATACTGATTTTTCTACGTCTATTCCACTGCCTATTGCTGTCAGGTTGGTCCTTATGCTGGACTAGTCTGGAATCAAAGTGCTGAGGAGAAGATATTTTTTCATTGTTTGGTTTGTTTATTTTTTTTTTCCAATTTTATACCATGTATAATGAGGTTGTTGTTCCTCTCATTTTGAGTGTAATTTTTGGGAATTAATAAAATTTCTACCTCACGTTGTTGAGGTCTTAAACAGAAATTCACAATTCATACCCACCCACCCACAATTCACAATGCAAGCATGCACACATCCAACCCCCAGTGCACACACACAACCATCCACCCAAATGCACACACACACACACCCAAATGCGTACACTCACACACAGATGCATACATAGAAAGAGAGAGGGAGAGAGAGAGGTTAAATAAATAATAATATACCCTAGAACTGAAATAGTAGACTATAGATCTATAGAAATAAACTATGAATCTATAAAAATAAACCCTAAATCTGAAACAAGAATCATAGATCTGAAAAAAAAAAAAAAAATTAATGCTAGAGTAGAGGAACCAGCAGACAGAGAGCTTACAACTTTGCTGGAAAGATTACAGGTTCACCGGAGATAGAGAGCTTCGCCGGAGTTCGAGATGTCGCAGGCGTTGGAGGAGCTTGTTCGCCGGAGTTGGAAAGGTATGAAATGAAAAAATGAGACAAAGCATTCTTCTTGGCATTTTATATGATAACTACGGGTAACTCGTGCCCGAAGGCACGGTAAAACGAAAGTGACAAGTGATGGACTTGGGAGGGTAAAAATTCAATGTGAATGATTTTAAGAGGGATGTTGGAAATCGTTAGATGAGTTTATTTGAAACTGTCGAATAAACTTATTGAAGTCTATCATATTTAATATTATATATTTGACACAAATAAAAGTAATATTCTATAATATTTAATCTTCTTACAAATTCTATATTTTACTATTTTTTCGCTATATATTCCACAATTTTTGAACCAAAGAAATTTCCAACACTCTAAGGAATCAATTTTAGTTTGCCAATTTTAAGAGATTTGGTATGGACTTTTTTTTTTTGTTTTGTTCTAGTACCCAACTTGTTTGACCCAATTAATTTTCTTTTTCATAAATCATTACAACGGGCCCAATGAAGAATATCCAAGCCTAAGCCTAAGCCAAGTGTGACAAATGATAACTCTAACTAAAGATCTCTAAATCCAATAAACATCCTAATGTTTTAATAAATCCAATACTCCAACAGCACAAAAGAAACACAACAGGAGCAACATTGACAACAAAACAGCAGCACCTCTAACATAATCACAACAGCAAAACAGCCCCAGAAAAATAGCCCCAAAACAGCACCAGAAATACCATAGAAACAGCCCCAGAAACACCACCAAAACGCACATTGAACCAACCCAATTGAACACAAAGAGACATATTAAAAAAGCCTCAAGTTCAATAATGAAATGTAAATCAAAGATTAAAATCCATTATAATTTATTTTAACAATCCATTACACAAGGGGGAAAAGATCAATAGTATTGGTTATGCGGCTTATGCCAATCAGTGAGAAATCGATTTTGAAAGCAAACACAATTACAATGATATATGACAAGAATCAGCCCACAACGAATCATGCAACACTATCAAAACTTAAACTCGGATAGAGAAGTCCAGGAGAAACAGGATAGAGAACCTGAAATATTTTGTACCATAGATCTTCCACTTTACTAAGTTGCTTTATCTTTTATCAATGGGAATTTATGTTACATCAAACCCAAATATCTTCCCACAGATATGTACTAAGAACTTCCAGTCATAAAAGAAAACAAAACCCATTAATCTAATAAAATCAATAGAACTAATTTGAAGTGGAAAAATAAATAAATATCATGAATTCTAATACTCTATTAAACCAGCAAGCCAGGACCTCAAACCTATGCAATCGCCAAAGAAAATATATGCATCTAAATACAGAGAGCAGGACCTCAACTGGAGAATAAAAACCACTAAAAAAAACATATGACATAAGAACGGCATAATAGAATCCAAGCCCAAACCATACCAAGACATAGTAGAATCACAAGCACAAAAAATTCAGAATAATCCAGAATCCAAAACCACCAGTTCAAAGTTCCAAATATTATGCAGTCCAAGTTTTCCATAAGAACTCACTAATTCAAAAAAATTTCCCCAATATCTTACAAAACTCAAAGAGGAGAGAGAGAACCTGGGATGCTTGTGGCTGGCTTGTGGCTTCGAAGATGAGACAGCGAGAGAGGCGAGAGTCTCTGAGACTCAAAGAGGAGGAGGCGCCAGGGATCGATCGACTGAGAGAAGCAGAGAGAGGCAAGAGGCGAGAGTCTCGAAGAGGAGGAGGCGCGGGTTTGCAGCATATACTCAGATCACCATCTGTGAGAGAGGGGGGGCGTTGATCGAGGAAGAGGATTAAGGTTGGAGTACGCTAGGCCCAGGTTTTAATTGGGAGTTAATTTATTTATCCATATAATAAAATATACCGAAATTTAAACCTAAAAGAGAAAGCGAGATCGAGATCGTTTATGACAAAATATGAATCCATTCAACGTACAATATAATTTTAACATAAAAGACGGTTCAAATTATCTTAAAAATTATGAACTAAACGGTCATTTGAGTATTAAAATTTTCTTTCCCACCCAACAAAGTCCTCCGTCTCACACGTCTCCCTCTCACTTCTGCCGGGAGCAGATCCTCTGCTGTTGGGAGAAAATCGCGTGACATGCGGTTAAGTTACACGGTGCCGTTTTTACTGTTTTTTGCTATATTTTTTTTTTGGTTAATCTCATTTTGTACCCTAAAAGATTGTTCAAATCTTAATTTGCACTTCCAAAGATCAAAAATTTCAATTTACACCCTCAAAGATAGAAATTTGTATCAATGTGCATCCCCAAAGATAAAAAATCTCAATTTGCACCCTCAAAGATAGAATTTGTATTAATATGCATCCCCAAAGATAAAAAATCTCAATTTGCACCCTCAAAGATAGAAATTTGTATCAATGTGCACCTAAATTAAATTGATAAATTATACCTAGATCCCCTCATATTTGTCACTTAATCATTTGAACTCCTTCACATTTAGAATATTCCCTTTACATCTCATGACGTTTGTGCATGTGTAACACATAACCAGTTTTCGTTGATATCTATTAATATAATCATTAAAAAATATGATTTTATCCTAATAAAAAATTATAATTTTATATTACCTTTTATTTTGTGGATTCGATATACTCTAAAGTTAAAAATCAAGCTTACCATTTGAATGTCTAATAAAATATAGATATTTATATAAAAGGTAATATGAAAAACATTATATAAATGTTTACATTTTATTAGATATTCAAATGGTAAACTAGATTTTGAACTTTAAAATATATTAAACCCATAAAATAAAGGGTAATATGAAATTATAATTTTTTATTAGGATAAAATTATATTTTTTAACAGTTATATTAATAGATATCAATGAAAATGAGTTACGTATTATACGTGCACAAATGTCATAAGATGTAGGAGTAATATTCTAAATGTGAAGAGGTCTAAATGATTAAGTGACAAGTATGAGGGGATCTAGGTATTATTTATCAATTTAGTTTTTAGGTGCACATTGATACAAATTTCTATCTTTGAGGGTGCAAATTGAGATTTTTTATCTTTAGGGTGCACATTGATATAAATTTCTATCTTTAAAGGTGCAAATTGAGATTTTTGATCTTTGGGGGTGCACATTGATACAAATTTCTATCTTTGAGGGTATAAATTGAGATTTTTGATCTTTGAGAGTGTAAATTGAGATTCAAACAATCTTTCGGGGTACAAAATGAGATTAATCCCTTTTTTTTAAAAGCCCTAACCAAAAACGACGTCGTTTTTGGTTCTGCTCTCCCCTATTTGAAATCCCTTCTGTTTCCTCCTGTTGCTGCCTATCGTTTTTGGTTCTGCTCCCCACATCTAAAATCTCTTTTGTTTCATCTTGCTGCCTACCTTGTCTTCGTCGATCGCTGCTAAGGAGGTTACCAAACGATCAGGTACCGTTTTTACACAAAAGCTTAACCTTTGATTCTTATTCACAAAAAAAAAACCCATGTATTTT